TGCACTCGGGATTTGCTTGCTCTAAATTACTCACTCTCGGTTTTGATGCTTTGAAGGAGTTTAAGCTCTAGTACTTACTAAGTGTTGGGGAATCAAGTGAAGTCTTCTAGGAGCTGAATGTAGGCTTTATAAGCTGGTCCTTGGGCGTTACAAACAAGGCTCGCAATGGAGACAAAGTGGGAGACAAAACTTGCACCAACTCATTTCCAATGCATGATTCTTTGCATGATTGAGTGAAAGTGGGGCACTATGGTCTCATGGAGCACGAAATTGGACGGAAAAGGGCTGGAGAATTCAGATCATGGCACTAAGAATGATGGGGAACAAGACCTTACACACTCACATTAAACAATTCATGCCCATGATGCACTAGCTTATAAATAAGGAATGTTAAACTTGCTCAAATCTTTCTTAACTCCAAATTAAGCTTAATTAGACATCAATTAACACCTAAAACTCAGCCTTCATGAGTATGGGACCAAGACTAATGAGGTAGGATGGCTAGGGTCTCAAAGGGTTCGACTAAGACTCGGTGGAAGGCGCGCGCGGCTAGGGATCTCGCGAGTCTAATGCTTGGCTTGGACTCGATTATTATGACCGAAAATAGAATTAACATGGATAACATAACTAACTCATATGCCCTAAGATCGCTAAGGTCCTCGATGCTCGGGCGAACGCACGGTTAGAGTTCGGCACGAGAGAATCGGCGATTTGGCACGAATGAAAATTTCGAACTTATAAATTAACATACATGAGCACATAATTCAAAATAAATACAAATATAACCACATAATTCATGTAATAATTCACTTAGAACTACTGAATCGAACAACTTTAGTGTTCACTTTAAAGTCGAGCAAGTGAATTGGTTTTATTTATTAACTGTTCGGGGCGTTACAGTCTACCCACCTTAAAAGAATTCCGTCCTCGGAATTCGAAAACAAAACAACTAGAAAGCACTGAGAATAAATATACAAAAGGAACTGAAAACATAAAGTTCGGATAACGCCTCCTAATACCGTCCTCCCTCTCCCAAGTCGCCTCAGTCTCATCGTGTCGGCTCCACAGCACCTTCACCAAGCTCACTGCCCGGTTCCTCAGTTGATGGACCTTCTGGTCCAGGATAGCTACCGGCACCTCCTCATAGGTAAGGTCTCGCTCGACCTGCAGCTCACCGAAGTCCACCACATGACCGGGATCATGCACATACCTCCGAAGCATGGAGACATGGAACACGTCGTGCACACCCGACAAGTCTGGTGGTAAAGCCAACCGATACACTAAGTTCCTGACTCGATCGAGGATCTCGAACGGTCCAATATAGCGAGGTTTAAGTTTCCCCTTCTTCCCGAAGCGAATCATACCTCTCATGAGTGAAACCTTCAAGAAGACATGATCTCCCACTGCATAAACATGCTCCTGCCTCTCCCGGTCGGCATAGACCTTCTTCCTCTCCTGGGCAGACCTGATGGTCTTCCGGATCTCCTCAACGGTCGCTGCAGTACTCTGAACAAAATCCGGACCTGTAATCCTCCTCTCTCCGACCTCATCCCAATACAAAGGGGTCCAGACCTTACGTCCGTACAAAGCCTCGTACGGGACCATCTTGATCGAAGAGTGATAGCTGTTGTTGTAGGTCAGCTCGACTAGCGAAAGGGTATACTCCCAAGTCAGGCTTCGGTCCAAGACCACAACCCTCAAAATATTCTCCAAGTACTGGATCACACGCTCCGACTGACCATCTGTCTAGGGGTGAAAGGTTGTACTGAACTCCAACCTCGTCCCCATGGCTTGGTGCAACGTCCTCCAGAACTGGGATGTGAACTTGGCATCTCGATCTGAAACAATCTCTACGGGCACTCCATGAAGTTTAACGATGTCCTTGACGAACAATTCGGCGTAATCACTCGCCTTCATGGTCGTCTGCACTGGCAGAAAATGGGCAGACTTCGTAAGGCGATCCACTATCACCCAAATCGAATCATAC